AAAGGGGGTGGCGAGACATGAACATCTCTACAGCCCTTTATGAAAAAAAGGAGACGTGGAAACCAACACTTATACACACACACAGTTAAATGTGAATACACTCGACATACACATAGACACCGATAGATACACATACATACATCCACAGACAATGACATAGACAATCAGATATCACAACCAATAAATATTTCAGACTTAAAGTATCATTAAATAAATGCTAATCACTTATTAAATTATAACTTAAGGAGTAAATATACAAAAGATATAAAATGGTTAAAAATAATATTATTTAATATATTAAAACGAAAATTCCAAACCATAAATATCAATAAAAATATATATTAATCATATAAGTTGATAATAGTTTCATTATATATTAGAAAAACAGGATAAAGAAACCCACAGATACATATATATATATATATATATATATATATATACATACATACGCGGCATCAAACACAAATATATATATATATAATGTTGGAACAAAAAATTCATAGCGTTTCTAAGTGAATTTCAAAGACAATATTTAGATATTTTACATAGATTTATTCAACCACTTATGTGACATTTTGTTCCATTCACTCTCACCATCTTCATGTAGCTTCATGATTCCACTCTCCTAGAACAATTTTTCCTGTTAAATAGAGTAATAATCAAATATCATATGGATTCACATATTCAAATGTTTTCAAATGCCTTACAATGCTCACATGGGATATATGGCGTATCTATACAATGTTCCGTGGCGTGTGATCTAGTTTATTTTTAATCAGCGTTTCGATTTGGTCATCATCAACATCTTCAGGTCTGCCGGAACATTCTCGGTCTTCCAGATCAATATTTCCATTTCTTAACATTGTTAACCACTTACGAACAGTACTCTCAGCTATGGCACCATCTTCATAAACATCACATTTTTTCTTTTTTTCTTTTTTTTTTTGGAGACATCGATTTTTCCAGATCATCAAATAACGAAAATGCACATTATTTTCCTCCATTTTCACTTATAAGGCAAAAACATTAAAAATTCATACTTTACACATGAATCGCTTTCAGAATATGCATATATGTCATAAATTTTAGTCACGAGTGAAACAAAATCACATGTTCAAATGCTACCTACTGGAAAATGCTACGACCCTGTTCGTGACAAAAGTTATGGAATATATACCTAGTATTGTGTAGTGTCCTTTCTTGCTCGTCAATGTACAAGTCGACATGGCATCAATTCCACAATTCGTTGGAAGATAACTGAAGAGAAATTGTGCAAGCCATCTTGATAGATATCTACACCTACCTGATATTTGTAGGAGTAGAATCTTGCATGCGAACAGACTTCCTCCATCACGTCCGGTAAATGCTCGATCGGGCTTATGTCGGATGGATCTTCTAATGCTATTCAAATAATTTCTAGGTAACTTGAACTCAATGACACGAAACATTAACCTGCTGGAATAATTCATCCTTGTTGGGGTACGGGGAGTTCATGTATATGCGCAACTGGTCACGAAGCAGTGTAACGTCGCGGTAAGTTCTCAGATGAACCAGCACATTCCATAACATTATAGGATAATCTTCAGGATTTACAGTGATTGCTAACCAATTGATGTCCATGGGTTCATAGTGTTTGCGCAACACCCGTACCCTACTATCAGCCATAAATAACTGAAAACATGACTCATCGGAGCACATTGAGCCTTTTTAATCCTCCAGGATCTAAGTCACGACATTGAGAGTCCAGTTCTGTGCTGTGTCCGTTGTCGTAGTGTTGACAGGAGCACCTCGGTGGGTTCCCCTGTTCCCATATAATATGGAAACTAAAGAGCATTGAAGTGAACTACTTGATATGCGTCATTTACTTCCCGCATTCAATGTGGGTGTGATTTTAGCTACTATCACTTGTCTGTTATCGCAGACAATTCTAGCCAAACGCCTCTGTAAACGCCTCTCTTTCTCTCTTGCATATTTTCTCTTGAGTTATCTTCCAACCAATCGTGGAAGTGATGCCACGTCGACTTGTACTTTCACGATTTATAAGGAAACGTAGTTGGCCACTGAGGAGGTACGGTGAATTAATAGATAGCGGCTCGGATTGAGGACTCGGAGAGCCGAGTTCGAATTCTAGTCGAATCCATTACATTCACTTACGTCTTCGGAAAAGATATGAATTATCTTCTTCTCCCGCCAGCTATGGGTAAATAGCAGGACCGACGGGGTTCTATAGCCTTGGATGGCAACTGGTCTGCCGCAGAAAGAAATAGCAACATACTGCAGGGAAAAATTTTCCTCGCCAGTCATGTATCGAAAGATACATGATCGCCTACGCGTGTATCACGCATGGCACATAACTGAGTGATATTCCCAGTACAGTGATATTCTCACCATTTTAGAAATTACATGTCCTATCCGTCTGACACATCATCATATTCTATTTGAACTTTGCTAATTCATGTCGCCTTGACAACTGTCAGAGCACAATTGATATTTTAGGTATTTGGAATTTTGTGTGTATATATATATATATATATATATATATATATATATATATATATATATATATATATATATATATATATATATATATATATGTGTGTGTGTGTGTGTGTGTGTGTTTATAAATTCTCCCTTTATGTTGTTTATAAATCCTCATCTAACTTGAGATTGTGTCACTAATATTAATAATAAAAAATTATATTAAATTCTTATATTGGTCACACATGCACTACACTCTCTTGTTGGTTGACTAGTCATTATCGTAATTTAATGCAATTCGTGCACATATCAATAATCACATCCAAAACAACCAAAATACACCTATCAATATAAGACAAAACATAAGAAAACACTCAAAATTCTAGAATGTATTATGATACAAAACAAAGGACAAACCACATTAAATAAAATATGTTTAAACTCATGAGTTGTTTTTAATCGTTATATTTCGGTATCACCAAAGTATGGTAACACACACACACACACACACACACACACACACACACACACACACATATATATATATATATATATATATATATATATATATATATATATCCTTACTCTGTCCTAGACATTGAGTTCTACCTGGATCCTTCCTCTTGGAAAATTTTTTTCTGAAAATATACATGTATGGGAATTTTTAGATATATTTTTCATATGTATGTATATTTTCCACTAATATTATCTATATATATATATATATATATATATATATATATATATATATATATATGTTACCATACTTGTTTCGATTTTTCTTCTGATTTATAACTTACATCTCTCTGTCTCTCCTTCTGTCTTCCTTCCTCTTACTCTCTCTTTCTCTTTCGTTGTGTGAAGAACTACAGTTTTCTAATATCATGTTTATCAAGATTATTGCCATTTTTACGATACGAAAAAATTGTTTATTATTGTTACATAATGCAATTTTTATTATATTTACATAATATATACAATTATTTTATTAAAACAAATTGTTATCATGATAATTGACAATTGTGAGACAGCTTTTAACAGAAAAGTTTAGCTAATAATATTCATATTTTTAAGAATATAAATCATATACTTATTAATTCATTAAGTCTATTCCGATGTAGACATAGATATAAATAATACACATTTATATTTAATATATGCTCTTAGACACATACATACGTGGAGAGTAAAGAAAATGTGAGGCGATTTATTGGCAGCAACTGATTGACAGATAGATTAGTCAACATAAAGTAAAGTTTCATTTAAAAGTGTATTTAGGTGCATATTCTTTTTGTATTGAATGTGTGCGAATGCACTAAAGTCTCGTTGATAAGGGGAATGAGAAAATCCAAAAAATGGCAAAGTATTAAACCTTTGAAAATTATCGTTTACATAAAAGGAAAAAGAAACATTTCTTATTCCCTTGACAATTTTGCATTGTGCCTCACTGGAATTTGATAAAATTAACTGCATTGCTGAAGATTAAGCCTGAATTTTAGGGCAATTAAAATACGCTGCACCTATTTCCTTTATTATTATTGTTGTTGTTGTTTCGTGTGCCTAAGAATGAAATTATCGAAATTTGATGAGAGCTTTCAAGTAAAGTGGGAATTGCGAATTTGCAACTACATTAAAGCTTATATATCGTTTGTCTTCTTTGTGCTGCCCTCCAGTTGTCCCTGCAAGGTGTTCAGCAGAACATAGCAAGTTGTTTTTTTTAAGAGTAAGAGGAGGGGACGTCAAACGCCGAGCCGCCATTTTGACAGATATGTTATTCTTGCTTTTATGTGCTAAGAACGATAAGTATTTCTTTCAACCATTTACTTTCATTACTTTTTTTAAAACCATATTTAGATTTTTGGTTGTTGTTTTTTTTATTTTATTACTTGTTTTGTTTATTAAGTCTATCAACTTCATGAAGTTCAATCTTTCAGGAGAATTGTTCATAGATAGACAGGTGCGCAAACTATTCTTATAGATTTAAAACGGGAGATACTATTTTAGAGCCAAAGTTAATACTTAGTAAACATCTCTGTCTTTAGTAGCATTTGCATTCCAGTGCTTTTCATACAGCTTTTCTAATTTACTTATACTTTCAAGTGATAGTCTTAGGGAATTCCAACAGAATTCTATTGGCGTTCAGGTCAGATTTCCCTTCATCATTTTTATTTTAATCTTTCCTATTAAAGTAACTGAAATTCTTATCTATTTGTTTGGTTGGGACATAGCTGATTTAACCCTTTGATAACTTATTGAAAGTTTAATTGGGATTGATGTCTCCATAATTTTATTCTATGTACCTTTTTATTAAAATTTATAAACTTTATCAATTAAAAAGCGTTTAAACGAGAAACTTCTGTCTCTGTTGTTTCAGTTTCATGTAGCGTGTATATTTCTTTATAACTGTTTTTACCATGTTTCTTTTCTCTGTTTAATATTTTCACAACAAAACTTGCTTTTCCTTTTGTTTAATTACTTTATATTTCCTCTGGTTCATATAGCGATTTTCCTGTTGATCTCCAGTGAAAACACCCATTCTATTTCGATCACCCAAGTTAAGTAGTGTCGAGCCTGGTCAGTACTTAAATAGGTGACCGCTTGGGAACACCGGGTGCTGTAATCGACCTCTTACAATCCAAAATATATTCCGGCTTTAAATAAACCATAAATGGTTGATAAATCATAAAAATAACTAATATTGGTCTCACAATTTCACAATTGGTCTTGCAAACTATTCATAGAAAATTTGATTGTTGATTATGAAATGCATATTAATTCGTTATTTCCAAAGTGAATACAGTTTTAAGAACTAAAACGTAATCGGTAAGAATAGCCGCGGTAAAAAAAAAAATAAGATAAAAGCCTCTCGATGCAGGTTGCTTGATTAAATGTCATAGGATATTTGAAAAAGTATCTGATTGTTGTCATGAAATCATGAGAATAAGATTAAAAAAATACTCGTCAAAAATGAAGGAATGAAAAGGTTAAGCACCTCATGAAGAAATACTTACTACCCATAAGATTTACTCACAATGAATAAATTGTTATATAAGCATTGAATTTTACGATTACAATATTGCAGAATAAAATTACAAAAATAGTTGCTTTCAAACACTTTTTGTTTTTCATCACATTTATTATTGCAGATAAGGATGACATAAAATATACTTCATACTTGTGAAAGGAGATCCGCACAGATAGGATTCAGCATTAATTCTTTAAATGTACGACTTTATTTCAAACACCAGTTTGCTAATGCTGTTCAAAATAACAGTAATATTTAATTATGCAACTGCATCATACTTACAAAAGAGCAAAAACCTTCCATGCATTTTTTATATACAATAATTATTGAATATTAAACTAAGGAAATAGCTGTCTACATCTCTGAGATAAGGTATTATGATTACTTTCATTATTTACATTATTCGGACTGTTCTTACAGGTCAGCTTTCTTGACAGATCTTCTATTATTACAATGTAGGATATTTAATAATAAAAGTGATAAAAACATATACCGAAAAAATATATATTTAAAAAAAAATTAAATTTAAATTTCTCAGTATCCATCTCCTTCGTGCGCATCAACGTAAACATCACTTTAGTCTGATGAAGCCCCCCACCAAAAAAAAAAAATGGATGAAACGTCTATCATACGAAACTTTTCCAACCTTGTCATAGATTTTTCAAAAATGTATATGCATTTATATACATTGTGTTTTATATATGTGGGTTATTAAAAATTATTAACTTTATTGCTACATATTATTTTACAATAACCAAATGATTCAATAAGAAATTCAAATTTGCCTCCTTTGATTATAACGTCTTATTGAGAAGTGGTGATCATAAAGAATTCTACTTTATAAATAATTAACAGTAAAAAACAAATAAATAAACAACATCCAAAGAAATCTAATCCGAAACAATAGAAATTAAGAAAAAATGTATTAACAACCTGATCCCAGTATTTAGTAATAAAAAATTCGAATTTACCATAACATGAGGTATGTTCGCTTTGATTGGCATCAATACTCCGTGTATTAACATGAAAACGTCATATCTCAGTACTAAGTAGTGAGACGAGGTTGTGTAACCGAGAGAGAGAGAGAGAGAGAGAGAGAGAGAGAGTTACATTGTGTTTTTAATAATTTAAATTTTACTTCATGTAAAAATTTTAATGTGGGTCCCAATTCTTCATTTTATTATTATCTATGCAAGTAAAAAGGTTGAGGTAATATTTTTTTTAATTTGTTTTAATCATTTTATTCAAGTTTGAATTTACACGCGGCGTATATATTATTCGCATTCACTGATTACAATATACTTGTAAAATACAGTCTTCAATCGAATGACATTACTAAATTTTCAAAACATTCTGCAGTTTATAAATTTCAATGCACAGTATAATATATATATATATTGTTGAAGCTTGAATAAGCATGGAATAATAATAATACAACACAAAATGTACGTAACAAAATGTATTGAAACAATGAAAAAAGGTACACAATATTTACAGGTAGTTTTGGTATATTCTTGGGAAGACTGTTCCTGCAGAATGGGTTGACTAAGTCGCAGTCGGGCAGAGTCTCTGGATTCGATCTCTTAATCTTCCGTCGTCTTCCGGTACCAACCCATATTTATATGGTCGGTACTCCACTTATGTAAATTAGGTGTATCATACACAACATATATATAGATATATATATATATATATATATATATATATATATATATATATATATATATATGCGTGTGTGTGAATGTGTGTGTGATAAAGGCATTTTTAATGCTTTTTATTTAAAAAAAAATAAGATATTAAATTACAATATTGAAACTATAATTTAGTATCATTCCTCATAATCAAAATGAATCCATCAACCCGAGAATGATCTATGCATTTAAAAACGATTTTTGTTGACTGTTAATAACTGGCATAATTTCTTTAATTTCTTCTTTTACTAATTTTTTCCAGAATTTTCGAATAAGCCACAATTAAATGTACTTTCTTTGAAATGGAGCTGAACTATACATCATGTGGCATTGAAAAATATAAAATTAACAGCATTTTCTCTGATCCCCCTCGAAGCCTAGGCAGGGCAATTACAATAGAAAAACATCATCAGAAAAGATCATATTTATATTTTTTTCAGCATTTTCACTAAATTCATAAAAATGAACATTCTGCTTTATCCAGATATGACGATAATTGTAGAAATTATCTGAAAAAAGCACGAAAACTTTCAAAAAATATTTCGTCGGTAAACTAAAAATATATAAAACAAAAATTTGTATTCTATGAAATAAATTATTTAAAAAGAAAAAAAAAACAATTATTAAGATAATTTGAATTTAACTTAAGTTTTAGTTACTGATAACAGTAAATTCGCCACAAAAAGTAAAATATCAGTAGAAATAAGTAAACTTTTTTTTTTTTTTATCAAAATACGGTTTAACGCTTTTCGGATTCTCTTTAGTTAATATTTGAATGAATCAAAATGTCCTGTAATTGGTATTGTTACAACATAAGACTGTTTTCCTTAGTTTAAGTGGTGCTCAACTTTTGATTCTTTCTGAATTTGAAAAGTCAAACGTGATTCAAAGCTGAAACGAAAAATTGAGAAATGTCGTTCATTCAATTTTATGTTTATATCATTACTCATTTTTCAATATTGCTTCATAAACTCGAAGATTATTGATCTAGTTCCTAGGCGCATCAATTGGTATAACAATGTTTGCTTATTTATTTGATTATTTTAGTTTTTTTTTTTTGTTTGTTTGTTTTGTTTTTTTTTGGGGGGGGGGGTTCAGGATTTTAAATATTTGATCAGATCTCGACCAGAAAACACATTTCACAAAAGTTGACATTAAGATTTTCATAAAAATGCGTCTCAAAACAGGAATGAGTCATGTAATCTAGGAAAACAATCAGTGCTAATTACATATCCAAAAAGTATACCATATTTAATATTTTTTTCGCAAGTTTCTTGTAATAGATTCTATTAGAATTCTCAGCTACCTTGATAACTGGGAAAGTACTTATCCCCATTAACCATTCTCCGCTGACGAACAATTCAACTCTAATTATGTTTAGACAGAAAAAAGAATGGGCACCATAAAGATTTTAGTGTGGAATAGAGAATGGCAAAAAGTAACGCCATAAATAAGGAGTTGAAGATTAAACAAAATAATCTTTAAGGTGTAGACGAATGATTCTATGAGAAAAACAGCGCGAAATAATTGGAAGAAAAGAATATCGATTTTAAAAAGTAAATAGAGAAATATACAATAAATAGAGAAAATTGAAGGCTAAAATCCCCAAAGTCTCTGCAACATGAAGATAATTAATTAAGTCTAAAAAATTAAGATCGAGAAGAAGAGAAAAAAAGCATTTGAAATCAAATATCTCCAAGATGATAAACAAAGAAAAGCAGGAGTCAAAAGAATTTTCCTTTATTTTTACAGATGGCTCAATAAAAATGATGAAAAGGATTATTGATATACTAACGGCAAGGGTAAAACAAAATTCGCCCAAATAAAAGTTATGCATAAAAATCTTTCTGCTTCACACACACACTCTCTCTCTCTCTCTCTCTCTCTCTCTCTCTCTCTCTCTCTCTATTTTTAACACACAGGTTCTTATACATATATGCACGTTTATTCATTTCTATTCAGAAACTTTTAATGTATGTGTATGTATGTATGCATCTCTCTCTCCCTCTCTTTCTCTTTCTTTATATATATATATATAGAGAGAGAGAGAGACAGACAGACAGACAGACAGACATTACACAAGTTTTAAACATTTTACCTTGAATTTAATGTTCGCAGTTATCGTCAACAGAATTTGCCTTTCACAAGAACAAAATCTACATTATCGAGTCGAAAGGTGATTCACGTTAAGCGGCTGATTGCTTGATTTTTACCTCGACTATATCGTTATAGAAATTCGATTTTAATTAATTTTATCATAATTTTTTATGGTTTAAGTATCCAACATAATTTCAGTACTCATTTAGTAAGAAAAGGGAATATAGTGAAGTAGCTTGCTCGTACGTTAATCATAGCGAAGTACATTATTGTTGATTTTTATTAAAACGGCGTTTTCCAGGTTAAAATTGTGATCATGTAGATTTTGGTGGCACACAAATGCACTGAGTTTGTTGTTTAATTTTAAGATTCGCTAAAAAAATAAGCATACTAGGATGAAAAAATGCCCCAAACTTAATAAAACCATAGTTTTATTGATAAAATCATAATGTTATTATTAAGAAGAAAGACCAAAGGATATTTTGATTATTAAATTGTATTTTTTTATCTTTTTCAGAGTGTTCGAAATTTTGGTTAAAAATCTTGTTTTTCTTGCGTCAGCGGGAAACCAAGAATTAGTATAGGAAAATTTACCGTCATTTTTGCGGTGAAAAACATTCTTGCAAAAATAATTGTCGGATATCAGGACTTATTCCCAAATGGATTAAATTATTTTAGAAATGTTTCTTGTTTAGAAAATCTTGGTAAAACATTGTTTTTACATCTGTCACCCTCCCACTTATTTAATTTTATTGAATCATGAAATTAATTTTGGTGCCGCTTAATATTTATTTATTAATATTTAGTT